TAAGGAGGTTTTGGGTTTTTTTGGTAGCTCACAAGTCTCAGTCCACAGCGGTCTGATCAACCTTAACATTGGACTGGAGAAACGTGTTTTTTTGACAGTCAGTCGATGTGCACATCAAGGCTACAACTATAAGAAATAATGTGGTCATAATGTTGGCTAACTGACTTTTGTTCGTCATTCTGTACCATCACGGGGGTTTCTGCACATCCTTGTGGGGGGGGGAAATTTTTTTTTAGCACAATTTCGGCTGCCTCCTCCTCGCGTGCTTTTTTCTCCTTTCTTTCTGCCCATTTCCTCCTTTTTTTCGGCAGGAATGGGGGTTCCATTCCTTCAGCAATTAATTAACGCGCTGCCCGGTGTCAGCTCATCGGTCAGCTCACAACTACAAACAACAGCCCGCGCGCTGGTCTCGTGAGAAACGGAGTGGAACAACCATCTTCATTATTCTCCTTGAAATGTAAATGTGCCCAAATCGCTAGTCTGGACAGCGTGTTGCGTGGTTCTCACTGCGCCTCATACCGTGCGACTTTACTTTGGACACCTGCCCTGCCGCAGTTCATGGATTTGGCCTGCAGTCACGCATCTGGGCTGAGAATAAACACGGGCCATGTCAGCAGGCCGAGGAATCGTGAGTGTGCTGCCACGGTGGCGTTCACAAGACATACAAAAAAATAATAACATGGTTGTGGCTAGGTTTAAAGCCTAGCCTAACTTTCTTCGCTCTCCTGCATGAAACAAAAATGCCTCTCTGTCACTGGGCTGTGTGTAATGTTGTATTGCAAGTTGGGCGGGGCCTGGTAGCTGCGTGTGTGTACTTGTATAGGAGAGAAAACTCATTTTTGCGCGCGGGAACGATTGTCAACATAGTACTCTGTTCACATGTGTCGCATGTTGGACGACATCGCATGTAGTGCAACTCCACGATGTATCTGTAACGCGATATATCGCCAAGCCCTAGTTCCAGAGAATGGAAAATGCACCAATGACCCAGAAGGTTTTTTTGTTGTTGCTAAATCTCTCTAAAAAGGTCAAATGTCACTTGTGTTTCATCAATCTTGATACAGGGTACTTATTATAATGTTATAGTCTTGGATTTCCTAAAATTGTTTAGTCTACCATCATCATTCAGGGTGGTTTCACTATAAGTATCAGTCATTTACATGTTTCTTACTTTGTTCAATCTGAATTTACTTTAAAATAAAAAAATTATATTTTGATTCTGACTTTTATCTGACTTTTATCATTGCTTTGAGAAAAAAGATGATTAATGTACCCCTTTTAGAAGTGAAGATATGTTCATTTTGTTCTTGAGCCTGAGACCTGAAAAACAGGCTCAGGGCTTAACAGGTTAAGAAACGAGCAATAAAAGGACAAGAGAATACAAATTTAAAATAGAATAAGACGGGTATAAAATAAAGTAGAAAAATGACAGTGCCGTGTAGGATACGAAAGTTCATTGATTTAATAAAAGGCACAAGTATAAAGGAAAAGGATTGATTTAATGTTTGTTACAGATGTATGTAGTATAATAGCTAAACATAACCAGGCTCCCTTTTAATCTGAATAGGATGGCTTTGTTTGTTCATAACACTCATCATCTCCATCCAGGCTTTAGCGTCTCCCAGCGGGCCCCTGGCACTGGACGGCCCTCAGGTTCTGGATGCCCCCCTCCTGCCCCCTCTGGCCTCTCCGACCAGGGCCCGCTCCCCTGACGTCATCTCCTCAGCCTCCACAGCCATGTCCCAGGACATGCCGGAGATCGCCTCCCAGACCCTGCAGCTTCAGCGGGTCCTGGGGTCCGGTCTTGAGTCTTCCCCTCTCTCCGCTCTGCAGACGGACAGCATGGCCTCGGCTGCGTCTGCCCTGCACCTGCTCACCTCCCCGCGCACAGCCAACAACAACAGGTACAAGGATGAGAAGCAAAGGAGAAAGTGCAGCGCAAAAGTGAATGCTGACATAAATGTTCACAACTTATCTCAGATGCTGTCTGCTATCCTTTTATCTTTCCATCTATCTATTCATCTATCTTTTCGTCTATCCATCTATCCTATTACCAATCCTTTTATCCATCGTTCATCCATCTAGTTATCGGAATCAAACAAGTTTTATTCCTCCCACATAGGGGAAATGTACATTGTTACTGGGGAGGTTGTGGCTCAGTTGTTAGTGCGCTGATCTTCAGATCACGGGGCACTGGTCCCGCTGCAGTCAACATTCCGCTGTGTCCTTCCCTCCAAATTGCCCCTGTGGGGATTGCCCACAGTATTGAATGTATATAAGTCACTTTGGATCAAAGCGTCTAACAAGTGACATATCATGTTACAGCAAAAGAGAAGATAAAACATTATTGGATAAAGGGCTTGCACAAAATGTAAAACATTACAAATGAAGTTATTCCTATCCATCCTTCCATGCATCTATCTGTCTCTCCGTCCATCCATCTATCCATCCATACTCAAACAAACATGCAAGCATTGAAAAATGTTTACCAGTCATTTAAACCATGTAGACATTCTGGTTAACAAACTATGTTTTTTAATAAACAAAACCATTTTGTGTTTCAGCCTTTTGTCCCTGGAACTCGGATGTGCTGATATCTCAGTGGGTGGAGCTGTGGAGTCAGAGCCCAGACTAAGCAACACCCCGTCTCTGCTGGAGAACGCCCTATCAAAGGAGAACCCGGGGGCGGGGGGAGGGTCAGAGGGGAACATCAGCCACACACCCTGGCCGGCTGCGCCTGACATCACCAGAGAAACCAGGAACAGTCTCAGGGACAATGGTCTTGGAGACTGGTAAGAATTGCATTAAACAGTTCTAAACATAATCATGTACACAAAGGATTTAAAAAAGCTCTAAAATCGAATTTTCAAGTGTGACCACTACTTTACTTTAGTAAACTTTGACATGCGTTGGAGACAATATTTCAAATATGTCTGGAGGTGTTTGTGTTATTCCAAACAAAGGAACATGATTGACAAAACTAGTATTGTTCACCATAGAGTATTTTTAGAACAACCCGGACGTTAGCATTGCAAGGGCTCCCTTAACTAAAAGCAATTGGATTTTAGAAAAAAAAAGAGATCTGTGAGAAACTACATTGTGCGACAATTAGAAGTTTGGTACATATTAACATAACTTTTATGATTTTTGAAACATCAATGCAATCAGCAGAAGTAAATACGTAGCTATAAGGCAACAAATTACATCGCAGTTGCTTGACTTAATGTCAACAACGCTCAGCTAAAGGGGGTTAATGTTGGGCGTGATGAATAATAAATAAATATTCTTGTTAGCAATCACTGTTTCTATGACACATAGAAGATTTGGGCATTTGTGAGTGGGGTATTTACTGACTTATTTTCTGTTGTAGAACACAAACTGAAAATCGGTTCAGCTTGTGTCAACCACAGACCTTATTTTGGTAATCTAACCAAAAACTCTTTCAAAAAAAACCTTGACATTGAGACAAGGGAGGCTAAAAGTGCTAAATGCTAACTCATTCCTGCACCACTCTATTTACAAGATCCTAACACAAAAGTCTGATTTAGTGCCCACTGTCATAAATAGAAATTGCACACTGTTATTTTTGTTTAAAAAGGTGCATAATCTTGTTTTAACCTACCGAAGCATATCCAGTACCAGAACGTAGACACATAATAATGTAAACAAGCAGTAAGGCTTGCAAAGTGATAACATGTCATTGACAGAATGACCAGGTCAGTTGTCAAAGCAGTGTGAAAAGCATTTCTCAAAAGTGTCACATTTCTACTTTGTTGCAGTTCAAGGGAGGAGGCGAAGGACCGACACTTGAACTCACCTTACCACCGGCGCTCCTACCACCTCACACAGAACGACAGTCAGGACGCCGGCGCTGAGCAGAGGTAACACAAATGAACAAATAAGATATGTCCAATTTCATCCTAGATGGAAGATATCTCAAAACAAGGCAGCACAAGTTCAGTACTCTATTTGAGGCACAATAACATCTTGATGTTAGCGATCTTTTCCAAGATGATTATGTAGCATGAACTCTGATACATGATTACTGCAGTGGTCTACTCTGTTCTTATCTTCATGTTTCTGTGTCTGTTCAGTGACCCTGATGATGAGGTGCCCACCATGGCAGCATCCTCAGGAAACTGTGGTCGTTCTTCCCACAGACTACCAGTTAAGGAGTGGAAGACCTCACCACGAGGCTCACCAAAAGTAAAGAGGAAGACCAAGAAAGATGACAGGTATGTTGTTTGATAGTGAAGGAATCAATTAGTGTTCCCTGTCCTGATTTTTGTACAGGACGGAGACTCAGTTTCAACATTTAAGTGGGTGCAAAAGACATCTTTCTCAGTCTGCTCTGATTGGTTAACTGTCCGCCTCCGTTGTTATTGGTCAACCGTTTAGAGGTGTCCAGCCCCTTAGCCTATCACATACAATGTGTTGGAGCGCTAGCCAATACAGAGCGTTTCATATAGATGGGAATAAACATATGTTCAATGCCTCTTTGAATGAGTTGTTTGATTTATTTTGACCTTAGTCAAACTCCATAACATAGCTACATCACAATCATGCATTGGCAAGCGCTGCAACACATAGTACTCGTAGGCTAAGGGGAGGGACATATATAAGCGGTTGACCAATCACAACAGAAAAGAGGTGCTGCAGCAGTATGACAACAATAAAGACCTTTTTCAACATTAAAGCACATAAACTTTAGATAAAGGGTAAAAGATAAACCTAAAAATAAGCATATTATGCCCTCTTTAATTAGTTTTCTGTAACTCAATCCAAAACAATCATTAATTTGATGTTAATATCTGCATTTAACATAAATGAATGAAAGAGAATCAGTCTCTAACCACATACATAATGACTTGAGTCATTGGTTTGAGTATATTCAATAAAGGCGTCACCTTTCTTTCTCCTTCCTCCTCAGTGAATCTTCTCTGTCCAGGCAAATGGAATCTAGTCAGGTAAGGTGCTCACTGAACATTGGTCAGCTTCTTTAGTATTCATTAACTGCTACAGTTATACTTAAATGGGAGAAAAGCAATTTTTAGTATTTTCAAATGATTGGTTCCCTTGATGTTCTCTCGGAAACACATTACACCTTACTTTAACTATGAATTGATTTGTTTTCCACAAGGGGACGACATAATATCAAAACAAGCTTGCAGTTACACAAGCTTTGAAATGCTTTTCCAATCAACCCCCAATGTTGAGCTTTTTCACTCTTGCCCTACCTCCCATAGATGAATGCAGAAGTGCAGGACGAGCTGCTGATGCTCCTGCGCAGCCAGCAGAGGGAGTTAACTGAGCTGCGTGGACAGATTACAGCCATGCAGAGCGCCATCATGGTCCAGGTGGAGCACGTCCTCTCCAACCACCAGGAACAAGAACGTATCCTTCGGTCTTTTTCAAACTGGATTTGACATTTCTTTCATTTTACACCTCACTTAGTAAAAAGTGTCCTAAAGGCACGAAAAGGGTTGTGTATAGAGTTGTGCAGGAATGAGTCCTAAACCAGAAAGGAGTTAGCCTTTTAGTACTTTATGTGTTTTTGATTGGATGCCTGAAATAAGGTATGTGGTTAGCACAGACTAAGTAGATTTTTTATAAGATACGCCAGTAAACACTCCATTTGTGACTGTCGGAAGCTTTCACGTGTCTTCAAACAGCGGTTGCTAACAAGTGGCCAAATGAGACTGCTAAACGTCATCACATGAAACATTAGCCGCCTTTACCTCACCATTGATGACGTCATGCGACTGCGATGTCGTTTATGTATGTTTATAGCCTAACGTTAGCTTTCTACTTCTGGCGATTACAATTCAACTATTAAAAAAATGGGTGTTAAGTAAATATGATCCTGCCTCACAAAAATTGTACGTATCATAGATGTGCGTTTTCTTATTTTTTGTAATATGGAAAATCCCGTTGCTTTTTGTTGAAGTAGCCCTTGGGATGCTTACTTGGATATTGGATCTATCGCAACTCTTAACAAAAAGCTATTTATAATGCATGTATTTTCTGATAAATGCCTACAAAGTTGTTTTAACAGTTCACCCGCAGTTCTCTATGAAGGGCGTTTTACATATTTGTTATGAGCCTTGACCTTTTGTGACCTCAGAGCGCAGACTAGAGCGAGTGCTGGCAGAGAGTCAGAATCGTCAGCAGCAGCTCCAGGATCAGCTGAGCCAGCAGCTCAGCCACACCCTCAGCTCAGTGCTCACCAACAGGATGGACAAGGTGCTGCGGGAGGAGATGAAGAAGACAGTCCCACAAAGTAAGACAAACACGTCATTTAGAACTAAATCTGCAATCAGACACAACAGAGTAGAGCTGTACTCTGCTGAGACAAAGTGGATTGTTCCTAAGAGCAGTCATGTCCATTTATTACCAGATGATGGTGGTATTGCACCATTTTGTTGATTGCAGGATGCAGAGGAGGATTATTTCAAAGCAGAATAGAATGGGAGGGATGAAACTCTCTTTAATGGCCACACGTGCAGAGCACATAGCACACACAGTAGAGGCTTCTCATTTCTCTAATTCCCCTCCTCGACTCCTATCCTCGAGACTTAGTCCCGCCCACAGGAGATGCGAGCGGAGGATTGAGGAGGGGAACCAAGGCGAGAGGAGGGGAAGCAGCAGGCGGTTAGAGAAATGAGAACTCCTCTCCTCTGAGCGGTAATTTTAAAGAGACGTCCATTAATGATGAAAGGAGGCACAGCAGCCCTCTGTCTGATGGACAGATGTGTTCATGACGACTTATATATTTACTTTTAATTCATTGACAGTGCGGTATAATGAGACAATAACAGGCTACAGATGCGGACATATACACACATATATTTATATATATATATATATATATA